ATACAGAGAGAGAGAGAGAGAGTGAATGAGAGAGAGAGAGAGAGAGAGAGAGAGAGAAAGAGAGACAGACAGAGAGAGAGACAGAGAGAGAGAGAGAGTAGATGAAGCGGGGTTAGGGCAACACTCCACCGTTTCTCCTACCATATAAAGTACAGGACCAAGAGATTTGGGAAAAAAGTTGCAAATAGTTCCGAGAGGGTGTGGTTGTGAAGTAAGCTTACTTCTGGGACAAATCTCTGCATGATAATAATACAATGGACGCGGCATTTTCCCTGCAGGATGATGGACGCTTTTCAATATTGTTCTGAGATTCTGCAAGAGTTTCTTGAACTACATTTCCATCGGTGTCTTCGATGGTGGTTGGTTGGCAGGTGCTCTGGTATATTTTGCTCATTCTTTCCACTTAAATAATAATATAATATGTGTTGTTCTTATCTCTCCACCTTCTTTTCATTGCATGTTACTCCCTAATAAACACATCTAATCTTCGACACTTTAATGACTTTTTTATGTTGATAGAGCCGTACAACTCTTACTAAAGCTAAAGCTAGTACAATAAAAACATAAGATAAATATAGAATATTGAAGGACGGTCAACCTCTTTGTGTACCCAGATCGCCAATGAACGTGTCCATTATACAAATCACATGGGCTTTCCGTAATGTTATGGAGTGGCCCTGATAGTAAACAGAATGTTGCTACTAGCGGCTTGAGTTCAGACTCATCTCTGAACATAGTTCCTTGCCCCTCCCCCTTTGCTCCTCCCCTTCCTTTACCACCCATCCATTTTACCCTCAGATGTAAGGATGAACATGTTTATTTTGTATTAATTATTTAATATCTGGAATCTTTTTTGGTGTGTTGAAATTGGCATGAATAGATTCTACATGTACATAATCAACTGTGTTGGTATTGTATCCACAAGTCACTCTAATGACAAGATCGAGTTCTTAAGCAATGATAATTAACGGTTCCAAGCAGCAATACCCAGCCCAAAGCAAGAGTTGAAAAGATGAATGTCCAGTGTTAATGTAAACATAGTTATCAATCTTTTAAAGGGGAAAGGAGTAGGACGATAAAAGAAGTAAACCAGCTATTGGGATTTATTGGATCGAGCCCTGCTTTTTTTGTTTATTTTTTCTTCAAAGGTTCTTGTTTCATATTAATTGTATCTTAGTCTATGATCGCAAAAGAGAGGGAAAATTAATGAAAGACATTTAATCTCATGCTTATTTTTGGTTTTTGTTCTGAAAAGGAAGGGAGGAAAACGGATAAGAAAAAGAGACTTAATGGAATGAAAATTGGGTGGCAAGATGCAGGATAGAGAAGACGGGAGATTAGGAATATAGGAATGGGATTGAAAGAGGGAAGAAGAAAAAATGTTGGTGGGGAGAAGGAAGAGGCTGACAGTATAAGGTGGGAAGAAGGAAGAGGCTGACAGTATAAATTGCCGATAAATGACGGGTGATGTGACGTTATGGCAATTTATTTGATTCGAAGACATAATAATCGATGCTTCAATTATTACCGGGAGAAAGAAAGGAGAGGGGAGAGAATAAGTTGGAAGAACGACTGATAGCTTTAGAGAAGAAAATAGAGGGATAATTATTGCTGCTGCTGCTTGTTCCCATTTCTCCCAAACAAAGACATAGTGAAAGAGTAATCTTTTTTTAAAAGATGGAGTTACGTAAAGCGTCCTTCACCGAAATAACTGTGATTCACAAACTTCTTGTTCTTGTTTTTGTTCTTGTTCTTGCTCTTGTTCTTGTTCTTGTTCTTGTTCTTCTTCTTCTTCTTCTTCTTCTTCTTCTTCTTCTTCTTTTTCTTCTTCTTCTTCTTCTTCTTCTTCTTCTTCTTCTTCTTCTTCTTCTTCTTCTCTCTCTCTCTCTCTTTCTCTCCCCCCCTCTCTCATCTCTCTTTCTCTCTCCCTCTCTGTCTCTCTCTCTTTGTGTTTGTGTGTGTGTGTGTGTGTGCGTGTGTGTGTGTGTGTGTGTGTGTGTGTGTGTGTGTGTGTGTGTGTGTGTGTGTGTGTGTGTGTGTGTGTATGTGTGTGTATTTGTGTGTGTGTGACTACCCACCTACATTATCCAGCATCCTTTCAATATCTGTTGTTTCCATCTTTAGATTAGACCCCCCCTTTTTTGGGGGAGGGGGGGAGGGGGGGGGGAGGTGGTTAGGCTGCAGGACCCGTAATCGTGAGACTGCGGGTTCGCAGGTTCGAGTCTCAAATCGGTCTGATGTTGTGTCCTTGGGAAAGGCACTTTACACGAGTTTCCTATTTGGCCCGGCCCTTTCGGAGATGGGCGTTAAAGACGTTATAATAATCTAATTGTGTTGATAGGGGAGTTAAACATTTACCATTTCACAGCATTTTTTTTCTAACCCAAACATTTATTTCACATAGTAAGAGACAGCTTAAATGCTAGATGTGAGATAGATTAAAAGTGCTTTTTGAGGATGTTTCGTGTTACGGTTTGTTACGGGTTCTACTTTCAACGCAAAGCATAGTGACATAGTCATCCATGTTTTCGTTAAACAAATACATATAAAAAAGGTTCATCTCTTTATACGTTAAAAATTCACAAAGTATGTTGATGTCCAATATCTCAAAAGTACCTTAACTGCAGATAGAAACCTTTAATTTTTATTCAATATGACGATTTACTTTGTGGAGTGCGAGGTGTTACTCGCGAGATCACACTCACACCAAAATATCCCCTTATCTACAGGGTCGAAGCAGTCCGCCTCCATTTAGGGGGGAGGGGGGGGGGCGGCTTACACCTGAAGGCTATCTCGCTTATTACTTGAACAAATTTTACCATAATTCACACATATAACAAGCATATTAAGGAGTCCTAAATTCCGCTATCAAATTTGAGAAAAAAGTTTTTTTTTCCATGGATACTGCGGCCATATTGGATTTTGTTGCATGTCTTACGTAATGAATACCTTATTGCTGATGGAAATTGATTGTGGTTTTTTTTTGCAGGCGTGTAAACAAACATTAGATTAAAAAATTTGTCTGGTTTTTTTCCTAAATGAATTAGAACATTTTTAATGAATTTTTTTCTGAGGTAGCATTCAAGTTTGCAAATAATCCGTGAAAATCCAAACTCCAGACACCACAAAAAACAATCTATTTCATATATCAAATATTCAACATACAAATGTTTAGTATTACATCTTCTTCTCTTCATTCTGTGAAAGTTAAATGAACATTGGATGAAAAGTGGTGGAGTTATTTTAAAAAGTATAGAGAAAAGTCGCGTTTTGAGAAAACGGCCGAAAAATAAAAATAAAATATTGACTTTATGAGGAAATCGTGGTGACGAACATGTCCGGTATGGGACAAAATGCGGTTTTGGAGGGTTTTGATGCAATGAAATAGTTGTAGGAGAGGCTGAGGAAGCTAAACATGCCTACAACTCAAATTCTATAATTTTGATTCGAATTGGGACTTTGGGGGTGTAGCCCCCCCCCCTTTTAAACGATCTAATTTGTTTCGATATGGGCGTAAAACACCAACAATAATTATTAAATTTTGTCTATTCATGCTTGTATTTTATACTATGCGCCCTGAGTGAGCACTCCAGAAAGTTTCTTATTCGTACCTTTCAAGAAGTTTATAGATCTCTCTCTCTCTCTCTCTCTCTCTCTCTCTCTCTCTCTCTCTCTCTCTCTCTCTCTCTCTCTCTCTCTCTGTGTGTCTCTCTGTCTCTCTCTCTCTCCTTCTCTTTCTTTCTCTCTCTCTATCTCTCTTTCTCTCTCTCTGTCTCTCTCCAACATCATCTCTCCCCTCGTGGGTCGGGGGTATGTAAATAGACCCACTACCCGGTCTGTGGGAGGTGAAACCCCTCCAATGACGAGGTGTCGCACACGGACTCCTACCCTCTGGGATCTGGATGCGACATCTACTTTGGTGTATTTCCCTCTTCTCCATCCTTCTTTCTTTCTTTTTCTATCTCTTCTACCACCGCCGACCTCATCTGGAGAAAAACTAGAGGTCACCCATCCCACAAAGTGGGCGCCTCGGTGACCGTAAGTGCCACCCATGCCGAGGGAAACCTGGTACCCGGAGGTTGAGGTGAGATCAGTCTGAAGACTGTCCCTCATCAACACACCTCTTTGCCCCAGGTTTTCCTCTTAGACGGGAGGGTGGCACAGCCCATGTCACTCAATCGGTGGGGAGCTGAAACCCCTTTAGTCTGAGAGTCAATCATGTACACTCTCGTGAAGAGTATAGCTCCGGGGTAGCCCTGGTCATCCGCGCTATGTGTCCCTTTGTTGGGCTCAATGGAGTGTGAGGAGCCCCGGAATTGAAACACCATCCAAACACATATAGAAACTTCACTCTTTAAAGACCCTTCCCCAGTTCTCAACGTAAACAAGAAGTCTCGGCTCGCGGAAGCGGATGCGGCCGTCGAACCGAGCCAGCAAAATGGAACAAGGACCTTTACTGCGGTTTCTACACTCCCTCTTTCCAGGGAGTTTCCGCGGCAGCCGTACGTGGACATTTCCAGCGCAGAAGACACACTGAGTATGATGGCTGATCTAAATCTCTTTAAGTTAGGAGATGCACTGCGGCAGGTTCTGGGATGCGCTCCCTCGGATGTCTAGAAGCTATCCTCTGGTGAACTCCTTGTCAAGTGCGCAACAGAGACTGAGGTGACCAAACTTCTGAACACCACGACCTTCCGTGGTATTCAAGGTACTTCCGAGCGGTACCAGAAATTGAACTGCTCGAAGGATGTCGTCCGCAGCTATGAACTAAAGGGCTGCAGCATGGAGGAAATTGTGGCGAACTGCGAAGGTGTGACCCATGCTCGCGAATTACTCTTCGGGGTGGGGGTGGGGGGGGGGGAGACCACCCTCGAAACTAACACGATCATCCAGACTTTTGATTCTTGCTGCCCTCCAGTCACCGTTCGGGCATCATATTTGGTCCTTGACGTGCGACCTTATGTGCAGGTAGGCATTACAAACACAATAGCTACATCTCTCTCCAAAACCTCATCCAAAGTAAACTACAACACCACCTTCCAAAACAACAAAAATAACAGAGAGCAACAACACCTGAACTTCCACGCCAACTGCACTGAAGCCTACAACGCAGACTTCACATTAGACGAACTAACTTCGTGCATCTCGGACCTGGGCAATACAGCCTCGGGTCCGGATGAAATCCACAACCAGATCATTAGACATTTAATCAACAGAAACACTTACACTCCCACTAGACATAAATATACAACGACTTGTGGCGGTCACACTCCTTTCCGGAGTCTTGGCGTCTCGCCACTGTCATTCCAATATCCAAACCTAACAAAGACCACACACACCCTTTCAATTACAAACCAATAGCACTAACGAGCAGTCTGAACAAACTTCTAGAAAAAAATGATTCACAAGCGACTCATGTGGTTTCTAGAGACGACGGGCTGGCTAAGCGGTCCCCGGTGCGGATTTAGGAAAACTCAATCCACTCTGAATCATATGGTTCGCCTGGAGACCTTTATACGCAAGACGTTTGCCGAAGGAGGCCCCATGATCGCAATATTTTTTAACCTATAAAAAGCCTTCGACACAACCTGGAAGTGCGGCTTTCGTAGAGACCTGCACGCTCTCGGCATACGCGGTCACCTCCCTGCCTTCATTTGCAATTTCCAGAATAACCGTTCATCTCTTTCAGATTCCCACCAGCAGGAGGAAGGTGTTCCCTGGGGAAGCATCCTTTCTCATCTCTTATTCTAAATAAAAAAGATCCCATCATTAAGACCCTCCAAAATAGCATAGACAGCTCGTTTTACGTTGGCGACTTCCTGTATGCTGCTGTTCGAAAAACCCTCAACTCAGATCTATAGAAAGGTCCCTGCAAACGAAGCTACACAAACTTGAAAAGTGGGCAAATAATAAGTGCTTCAAGTTTTCCCCGTCAAAGACGGTTGCAGTACACTTCTGCCGGAGGTACAAACGGATTTGAATCTATGTGGGGAAAGGATTCCCGTCCAGGGCCAGGCTCGTTTCCTCGGCATTATATTTGACAAGAAACTCACATTCATTCCACACATACAAGACCTTCGTGTGAGGAGCCAGAAAGCGTTGAACGCTTTGAAAATTTTATCGCTTCCGGAGTGGGGCGGGGATTCAAAACACCTTCTCCACTTATACATTTTCCTTGTCCGATCCAGGCTTGACTACGGCTGTCAGGACTATGAAACGGCACAACCACACGTCCTGAAATGCTAGACCCATTATAAAACCTTGGGGCTTTCACACTTCTCCAGTGGATAGCCTCCAGGCCGAGTCAAACATACCATCACTCACACTCAGACGCACACAACGTTCACTACAATACAATTAAACAAAGCTCATTAACAGAGAACCCCCACACACGACTGTATTTTCAGAACAAACCCTGACACCATAAACAAATTCAAAAACAACGAAAAACTCATCAAACCCTTCGGCCTCAGAGTCCTTAAGAACCTTAAAAACATACGGTTTTCCAAACAAGACATCCAACAATTTCTTTTCCCAGAACTCCCTCCTTGGCACCTCACCAAGGCAAAATTAGACTTACAGCTGACCACACACCCGCCAAAAACAAGCACAAACAGCAAAACATTTAAAGCAGAATACAACAAAAAAAAACTAAAAGAAAAATACCCCCAGTGTGGGGCTAATCTTCACACTTGGCTCCAAATCCGACTATGCTGCAGGCGCCGCAGCCCTATCCTCAAATAGTACACACTAGAAGAGACTTCATCCAGAAGCCTCCATTTTCTCTGCGGAGGCCATTGCCATTGACATGGCACTGGACTCCGTAGAAAATTCTACTAACAAAATCTTTCCTCATCCTATCTGACTCTCTGTCTCTGTCTTGCATCACCTTTCTTACAAACTACACACTCTTACACGCAAAAATAGATTATAACACAAAATACACGCTTTAGCCGAAACCGGGAAAAGTCCTAGGAAACGAGCAAGTGGATTTCCAGGCGAAGGAATCCTTGTCCCTTCTGTTGAGATCAACGACGAACACTCTCCTACAGACCGGATTTAAAAATAAAGTAAAAAAAACTACACCGCCAGTCTGTGGGAAACTCATTGAAAAAAGCAACAACAAGAAACCAATAAACTACACAACATTTAGCCCAAAAGGGTTCCACAAAAACCTTCGGGCCTCTCCAGAAGAGACGAAATCATTTTTACTCGATTACGTATCGGACACACGTCCCTGGCACATAAATACCTCCTTCAGGGAGATGAGAAACCGTTCTGTGTTGGATGTGACTCATGTTTTACCATAAGACACATTTTAACAGAATGTCTAGACTTCGGAGAGAACCGAAGGACATATTTTAGATGCAAAAGATTGCAAGATCTGTTTCCCGTCGTTGTTCTAAACAGAATCCTTGATTTTATAATGGCCATCAGCCTTTATGGAAAATTGTAATAAGCATTAAAACGTTAAATGATATAAAAAAATATTTTAAATTAACAATTTATTTATTTATTTAGATCACATTTTTTGTATTTCAGCTTTTTAGTAGAGGTATTAACCAAAATCAGGCTATGCAGTGAACTGTTGCGAACGGAACCAACTTTTTGTCGCGCGCTCATATGACGTTATGCAGTTGCGAGAGCCGTAAAACTCTTATTAAAACAAAACAAACAACATCATCTTGATAATGTGTTGAAAGTTATTTCTGTTTTTAAAATGTGTTTTTTTAAAGGAGAGTTTAAATTACCTTATCTGGTTTCCTTCTGAGTATTCATACGCTCACAGGTAATCATAAAGCCATTTAAATACATGATCCAGACACAGGCATCACTGTTTCGGCGACAAATATGATAACTATATAATTATTGCATAATACAATAATAGGTGTGCCGGTCAAAATGTAGGTCATTTGACATGACAAGCAGTGGGAGCAAATAGAAAGAGAGAGAGAGAGAGAGAGAGAGAGAGAGAGAGAGAGAGAGAGAGAGAGAGAGAGTGAGAGAGAGAGAAAGAGAGAGAGAGAAAGCGAGACAGACCGACAGACGGACAGACAGACAGAGAGAGAGAGGGGGGGGGGAAGGAAGAGAGAAAGACAGACAGGAAGACAGGCAGGCAGGCAGGCAGGCAGACAAACATAGAGAAAGGCAAAGCGAGAGAGAGTGACATAGAGGAAAAAGAGAGAGGGGCAGAGAGGAAGAGGGAGAGAGATACAAAGAGGTAGAGAGGGAGGGATAAAGAGAGTGATAAAGAAAGTGTTTTAACGCCCCGACCAACACATAATTTTAGATAATGTAGGAAGCAGGCTTTGACTCTGCCTGTCAAGCCCAAACCTAGTTGAGAGGAATACACCATCCCAGCAGAAAGACTAAGATTAAGAATCTCGATAGAAATGTTTCCGTACTGGGGAATCGAACTTGAATATCCAGTGTGTTACAGCGAAGTACCTAACCGCTACACCACAGACGCCGGTCTGGCTCAAATGCTCGACAAGAAGTTCTCTACTCTGAATACGTCCGTATTATTCGAGGATTTGCTCAAGAATCTCCACACATCTGACTCAGTCATATCGGAGATGGACAACAGTCTATCAAGAATCTAAACGGGTAAATGCGGTGCTGAGAAGGGAGTTAAAATAAGATCTTGCCATACCTACGGACAACACAGAAATGTGTTTTTTATGTAGGATTTACGAAAAGTTATTATGGAGGCGTTCGTCTTGACTTGTTTCCCATAATCAGTTGTTGCTACATTTTTTAGTATGTGTGGCGGAGCGGTCAGTGCGCTCGTCTCCAAAGCGGAAAGTCCGGTTTGAGCCTCGGTTTGGACACGGAATTTTTTCTTCCCTTCGTGCCCACCCAGAAGTAATGGGTACCTGACTTAGAGTTGGGAACGTAAAGGCGCCGGGGAAAAGAATTGGCCACCCTACTGCATTATGCCGAAGGCCCACGAAGTTGTCTCACTAACAAGGCAATTCCCAATGTCCGGATCGGATGCTGGAACCACTTTTTACTTCATTTTTACAGTACATCCAATAGCTATGTCATGGTTGCAATTTCCATTCCCTGTAAGATGGAGTAACATGTGTTAATGTAAAGAAATAACTCCAGAAGGATTCGTTTGGGATAGAATCTCTGAGGGTGGTTTATTTTTGTGTAAAACAAAAATAATAGTAATAATAATAGTACATGTAACAGTAATAACAGCAACAACTGCAAAAACAACAGGATTTCCCAAGAATTTTGGTTGCTTTTCTTTTCATTCTATAAGTGTCGTCGGCAGCTGTATTAAAATAATAATAATAATAATAAAGATAATAACAATAGAGAAGGAAACAAATGATCGGTGTCGCTAAATAAAAGCTGAGGCATAAAGTTATAATGATTTCCCTTGATGACATCACAGACTGAACTAAAAATTTTCAGAATTCTCAGAGATTTACGCGACCTCCCGGAGCGGATCAAAAAAAAAAAAAGACCCTGCATGTGAAGCAATGTCTTCCCCACTTTACAAATGGTGGTCCTCTAGTCGGCCACTGAGACAGAAACATAGACTACTTATTATGAGCTGCTGAATAGAACGCAGTTTTTAATCCGTTTCACTGAGATAGATGGGGAAAAACAGCCTGGCACCCAAGACACTGGGACCTCTGATCACCTTTCTTTTGAGTGCTTTTTCCCTAACGAGAGGAAGATTGCCGGGCTCTTTATTTGTTTTCACCTACGTAAAAACGAATATAGATTTCTTAAACGTTTAGAAACTTCAACTGAGCGACATAAAGTTAACACATATGATCCCGCCAGACTAAAGAGATACGGAAGAAATTAACACTGATTTGATCTACTCTGAAGCTACAAATTGTACGAACCAATTTGAAAAAGCGCACATTACGCCTGTTTGCACTAAGTGCACACGGGGTTATTACGTAATGGTATTTGTGCAGCCATTCAAGAAAGTATTACTCAAGCCTCGAGCAAAGTAAACCTCTAAGCATATCGTAAAAACAAACAAAGAACTTAGAACTAAAAGAAATTTCTGGTTCTACGAGGCGTTTTGTATTGGCGTGTTAATGTCTTAAGGAGGGCTAATAGTTGATTGATAAGATGACTGAACATTATCGAGCAGGCAGCAGGGTGCAAAGAGAAGTAAAGAGAGCGACGGGGAAGGGTTAATGATAAAGTGTGCTATTCAGATGTCAAAGTAATTATCTCGATTCTGACTTCATCGATAATAAAACAGTGGTTTCAAACAAACTCGCCCAATTTGTAAACCAAATTGATATGCAGATTGAGAGAGAAAAAAAACCCTTTAAACTTTCAGCCCTCACAATTTATGCGTGACTAAATTGTTGAGGCTCAATTGTATAAAGCAGAATGAAACAAAATTTCAGAAACAGGTCCTAGTTTTTTTTCTTCTTAATTTGAGTTTCTTCGTTCATAAAATATGTATAAAACATTGAGACTGACAAACAAATCATTACACATGGTCTGAAATCTAGAGGCCCTTGTGACAGAATCGTAGAAGCTGACACAAGACATTTTTACTTCAAAAGGTTTTTACGTGTTTATAGTCTGTGTGCTTTTAGACAGGTGTCGGAAAAGAATCTTATTTTTGAAGTTGCTCAGCGAGGTATAACACTTTTGTATTAACTGTAGTTGATTATTGGGGTTTTGGAAGCATTTATTAGCTAACAGTATTTCATGGAAGCTTGTATTGCTTTGTGGATCAGCTGATTAAGTGGAGAGACTATAAATGAAATTAATTTTGCAATTGCTGACCAATAACGTACCATTCAAAGAAACTGTATTTTCCAATTCTTCTTTGTGATAGTGACGATGTATGCCTTGATCAGTATGTTTTATATCGGTAACAAAATATGTCAACAAAGGAGATTCTTTTCTTAATGAATAAAATGACCATATAATTCATCAGAATTCATCATTTCTCGACCAAGCTCACTGGAGCAGGCTGGTCACACAATTAATATTTTTTAAAGCAAAGAAAACCACCGGGTATTTGTAATATTATGCCCCCGAGGGATGGCTACTTAAAAAGGAAGCCGGGTGTTCAAGAGTTCGAGCAGGAGTGGGTCACATTGTTTCGTGCACATTCCCGCCAAATGTTTTCTGTTCCGGTCAATCCTTGGCCGACGAAAAGGGGAGGGGTCCAAGTCGCCTATAAATGGCATACAGAATGTCTATTATCTCGTTTCTGTCCGGGAAAGAGCTAAACTATTCTAGGGTTCACCAATGTCATTGTATTATGTTGCTGATGCGACACGGAGGCAAATAATAGCGCTTCCAATAGCAACATGAAAGGAACAAAACCAAAATGTTCAAACTCCACCCTACAGAGCACCTCAGGCCAAGATACCAATACAAAAAGGGCAATGTGAGACTTTCTCCTTGAAGCTAGAACTGACAAGCAAACACACCGTTTAACAATCTCAAGCCATTCATAAATGGCCGGGTCAAGTGTACCAAGGATATCATAACTTTTAAAGGAAAAAGAATGAAAATGGGTATTTTCCCTGTCCTTTCGTGTGAATGGTTTATTTTGTTAAGAGTTAGTTATATACAAAAGTTTCAAAATATACTTAATAAAAGGGGCAGTAGATAATATTATGGTTTGTGTGTGGTTAAACTGAGCCAACTAAATGGGTATTTGAATAGCCTAGCTGCAAAATAAATTCTGGACATTATGTCCAGACTCCTTCGATCCAGTCTGTCAGGATCGTTCCATAATTGACAAGCAAAGACACAATTAAACAAATCTCAAGTCGTTTGTAAAATGACCGTGTCTAGTGTAACATATTTCAAGGATATCACATTTTTCTTCTACTTTCATCTGAATTACTTGTTTTAAAATTTGTCATTTAGGGAAAAAACCATCGCACCCTATGTGGGATTAAATTTTGTCCAATTGAATATGTAGCTGAATAGTCTTCACGCAGAATAGTGTCTGGTCAGGCTGCAATAAGCTGAGTGATCACTTACTTTCATATCTCGTATAATTTGTTGAAAAGTTGTATTTCTTAATTAAGCATACATACTTTATTTTAACCACCTATTACACTGAATTTTCACAAAAGGTAGATACCGTCTTGGTCTATGCATTTTTGAAGTCGATGCAAGAGTGATAACTACTTTTCATTTTACAAGCACATTTGTACATACTAGCATTTGAGCTGTTTACTTCGGGATAGATAGTATACAACTTTTTCTTTTATCTTTCAATAGCAACGAATGGTATCGTTCACTTTTTCTGCGACTCGCGACACCGTTACTGCATACTGTGTTCTTGTCATACACAAGCAGATATTCGTAGAGATACCATTTTGTCACATAATATCTGATGTTTATGATAATGTTGTAGGTATCTGCCCCCGTCTGTCATGCTCAAGAACAGGGCTGGATGATAGAAGACTGAAACAGAGAGAAGAAAGAAGATTGAGACACAGATAATAAATGGGACATGTGGATCACAAAGACGAAGACAGAGAGAGAGAGAGAGAGAGAGAGAGAGAGAGAGAGAGAGAGAGAGAGAGAGAGAGAGAGAGAGAGAGAGAGTGAGAGAGAGGGGGGAGGGAATGTTTTTTTTTTTAATTTGGAACAATAACGACGAAAATATTCTAATACAGTTTGCAATCTCTTCAATCATCATCATTATTGCCTTTCTCACCCTACACCAGGGTATCGGCCCCGAACAAGCACTTTCCACCTTTCTCTATCCTGGGCTAGAATCTTGATGTTATTCCATGTTTTCCCACTTTTCTGTACATCAATTTATGTGATTCTTCTCCAGGTTCCACGCGGTCCTCTCCTTGATCTTTTACCCTGTGGATTCCAATCTAACACTTTCTTTGTTATACAACTGCCTGACTTCCTGAGAGTATGTCCTATCCATCGCCACCGCCTTCTTCCTACACCATCTCTAACTGGGCTCTGTGTTGTTTTCCTAACACTTCCTCGTTGATGACCCTGTCTGTCCATCTGATCCTCAGTAACTTTCTTAGACACTTTTTCAAGAAACCTAGATCCTCTTTATGCAAGTCTGAGATGCCTTCCAAGTCTCACATCCATACACCAGGACTGACTTCACATTTGAATTGAAAATCCTCAGCTTTGTTCGAAGTGATATTATATCCTTGGTCTTCCAATTCCTGTTTAAAGATATGAAAGCAGACTGTGCTCTTCCAACGGGGGACTTTATTTCGGCAGCTATTTCCACCTCTCGGTCATTTATACTCCCAACATAGCAGCATGATTCAACGTCTTCTAGTGCATTTCCTTCCGTTGTGACCTGCTCCTTTCGTTGTACATCTGTCCTTAGGACTTTAGTCTCTCCAGGGTGGATCCTCAATCCAACAGACTCTGATAAGGAAGTCTTTTTTGCATCTGTTCTTGGGTGTGTGAAAGAAGCGCCTAGTCGTCCACAAAATCAAGATCGTCCAACTGTGTCCATGGGGTCCACTGTAATCTCTTCAATGCTTCAGAAATATTGTTCTATTCGTAGAAAAGGGATTTTATTTTTTGAAGATAAATCTATCCGTGAGGGGAACCCAGCAAACCCACGCACAAAAAGACAGTTGTTCGCAATTCATTTGTGTCAAGGAATTAACGTTCTTCGAACCCCGACTAGTCAGCTAGATTATTTTCTGAGGACCAACTTTTTGAAATGCAGCATACAGAAGGCACAGAGTATCTTTTTTATATCGGTCCAACCATTATGATGTATAACTGATGTCTCTCTGCTCTCTGTCTCCGTCTCCTCCTCCTCCCCTCCCTCTCTCTCTCTCTCTCTCTCTCTCTCTCTCTCTCTCTCTCTCCCTCTCCCCCTCTCTCTGAGTATAATTCTTTCTTTTTTTATCTTTACTTTTGATCTGTTTTTTATAGCTGTAAATCAAATGTTTTATACTCAGATGAAAAATAAAAATAATAATCTCATTCATAATGATAACCATTAATGGTAACTGTTTTACATCCCACAGACACAATTTTGACCTCATATTTCAAAGGAAAGATTAATAGTAATAGTAGGCCCGATGCTTATCAATACATAGTTCTCAGACTGCGCAATTTTTAAAAAATCCAGACCTTGGTCTTTATACACGATAGGCGGGCCGATGATATCATACAATCTATGTGGAGTGGATATAAGGGGGAATGGGCACTCTTAGATTATATTTTAAATCTGTAAACAAAAAGGAAGCATTTCCTATTTTGTAGCGTCGGCACATGAGCCACTTAGAGACAAACAATTTGTATATAACATGTATTTTATTGTTACCATTTTCTAAAATATCTCAATGTGTTTTCAGTTCTGGGGAAAAAATCAAAGCCGTCAATTATGGCCTGCAGAGATTGCCAGTCGGAGGAGCCTCACAATGCCCCGGACAGTGGCATGACAACAGACAACATCGTGCGCTCGGTCAGCACTGACGGTCTTCAGGAAGCGGAAACGACCCCAAAACAGTTGCTAAGCGACGAGACAACACGTCTCGTGATGCAGATCTTACTTATCTACGTAACTCCAACCATTGGGCTGCTTGGTGCGATAGGCAATGTGTTTAGCATCATGATCTTGGTAAAACACGGGCTGCACAAATGCTCCAATATCCTGCTCTTCTGTCTGGCTATTACTGACCTTACTTACCTCATCTCATACAACAGCATCCCCAAGATCCTCTATGACGTCATCGGAGTGGATTTGGCGTGGGCGTTCACGAAAACAGCAGCAAGGGCCGCTTATACTCTCTATTTTTTCTTCAACACGCTAGACTACGCCGCCGGCTTCATCTCTTTGACGATTCCAATGTTCATAACAATGGAGAGGCTGGTCGCTGTTTTTATGCCCTTACGTTTTCACGAGATCATCACACCCAGGAGAACTTGGTTTACAATCGGGTTTTTGTATGCATTTTGGTACACGTATAACATCTACACAACATTTTGGTTCAAGTTCGGTTACGTCTACAAGGCTAATCTCAACATCTCAGTGGGTGTGATTCAACGTTCAGCTCTCTATTACAGCGAGGTGGACAATGTCGTCTTCATGCAGGATTTCACGACCTATATCAGTATGAAAATTCCGCCCTGTTTCACTCTGGTCGGCTGCATTTTCATTTCAGTAAAAATAAAAATGGCTTCATCGAAACGAAAGAAGCTGACATCTGCGAGTGGGAAAGAATCTTCGTCCAACCGCACGACCAAGATGCTCCTGGCTGTCTGCTGTGTGTACACTGTAACCTGCGCTATCTTGTCCCTGCCCACTTACATCCCGGAGTACGCTTATTACAACGTCACTGGAAACATTCCCAGTAACTTTGGACGTATTGGCTACCTAATCATGAACCTAGTTGTAAACATCAACAGCTCCTGTAATTTCGTTGTCTATGTGGGGATGAACAAAAACTTCAGAGACACCTATAAATCTTTGTTCGTTGGTTGCTGTAGATGCAGAAAATAATCTGTTGTAGCTTATGCACAAAAGCGTTTTTGTTGGTTTGTGGAAACAAAGAAGTGACTTTTTAAAATGCTGTTGCATCATCTTGCATGTGTTCATATTATGTGTTCATATACCTTCACTAGTGTTCCTTTCTCTTTCCTTTTCAGAATGGTTTTAACTTACCTATATAAACAAAAATTATATATTTATCTTCTGTAACCTGTGATATGGTACTGGAGTCGAACTTTGTTTAAGTCTTACCCTTCTTCTTGGAGTCTGTACATCTCCGTAGAAGTCAATCATTGTACTCCATGGTGTCTATTCTTCTCCGTTCAAGAGAGATTTTGGTATTCTCGCAATTCTACCTTCCGTGAGTTGAAAGTGACCTTGTTAACTGAGTCTGGATTGAAAGAGCCCCGAAAACATAATGATTTTACCAGTACTCATGCGTCAGTAATTCAATCTTGCAATGACATTCTAAGAATCGTTCAAAAGCTTTTTATCTGAAATCTGGTGGACTTCTTTTTCTTCATTGCTCTTACTATGGCATCAAAAGAAATGGCAGACAGAAGGAACCGATTCCCTTGTTATTCTCCTACGAAAGAAACGAAACCCACTCAAATGCCAACATACAGTCAGCCTTATAGGCTTCCCATACCAGATAATGTTCCTGATCATCCTAAATTGTCTTCTATCACAAACTGAAATCACACTAGCTGAAGACCACCCTGTGGATGGAGACACAACCCTTTAAAAAATGCAAAGGGTGGGATATTGCAAACATCTGTTACCGTGAGAAAAAGCTGTCTACTCTTCCCTTTGCTATATAATATATTTCTTAAAAGAATTGAGAGAGAAACCCTCAATAAAAACCATACCACCATATCAGTAGACAGCCTCCAATTTGCATACGCTATGGACGCTCCATGGACGAACTATAGGACCAAAAAGTAAGACTTAACAGCACTGATTCGTCGTTTTTGGAATGGAGCAGAACACACAAAAAAAGTAAAAACATCTTATACAACACTACCAAGGGAAGTCAAGGTAAAACATAAACATGAGCAATGAAATATCGGAAAATAGTAAACGCAACGGCTGCCTTGTCAAAATTTTACCAAATCTAGAATAGTATCGAGATAATTTTCTACTTTAGATTCAATCTGTACACATTCCTTGTACTTCCAATCTTTCTGTATTATTGATGTGAATCCTGTCGGAGACACTGGCAAACACCGAAAAAAGATCGCATGATTTACGATGAAGAGTTTAAGATACTCGTAATTACTTAGAATCTCTTTAATAGAATCTGAGACTGATGGACAAATATCGACAATTCTGGGCTCTTTTCCACCCGCCCTCCCTCCTTTTCCTCCGACAACGCAAATCAGAATCGAGTGTATCATTGAGTGATTTGATTGTTCGTCTTCTCTTTTTATATCTCATTTTCCACTCTTTACAACATATTTTCCTTTGTTCTTTTTTCTACCCTTGTTTTATTTTTAATTGTCAAATTACCTATTGATTTGGTACGGCTGTAGCTCTATCGCACAATAAAATTGTTAATAAACAAACATGATCACAGATATTGCTTTGTTTACCGTCACGTAAAAACCAAAAAGGTGGATAGTTTTGAAATGACACGGAGCAACCGACACACAACACTGGGAAGCCGGGGACCCAATCAAGCGATACCAATCATAATACTAAATGCGTCCACGGTGAGGCACTTACGCTTGGAAGAGAAGCCGCGGAAATCTTTTAAAGAAACAAAATCAACCCCGCCCCCCCCCCCCAAAAAAAAATAAATAAAAATAAAATAAAATAAATAATAATAATAAATAAAATAATTTTAAAAAAAAATTAAAAAATAAATACCAAAACAAACCAAAAAAAAAAAAAAAAAAAAAAAAAAAAAAAAAAAACGATAACAGAACAAAACAACCCCAACAAACAACAGCGAAACAAAACCTGAAACAACAACAACAACAGCAACGCCCCCCCCCCCCCCTTACCAAAACCCCCCCACACAAAATCCCCAAAATAAAACAATTGTTACGTTCTTTCTGGCCCATTGAGGTTTGACGACCGTACACTATCGCAAGGCGCTCTGTAAGTTCAGTTAGAATCATACTAGGCTACGGAGCGGGCAGCACTAGTTCAAATCAACGACTGGGCGTTCTTGAACTCCGGTCGTTTTGCACGGAGTTTTCACGGCTCTCTTGTTCCTTTTCAAAATAGAAGTTAGGCTCAGACGTTCTGCCAATGTTGAGGCCTAATACCAGCTGATAGTGTTGAAAGGGGCGTTAATCACTTTACTGCCAGCCTCGGGAATTGAGTTATGGAGAAGGTCTAAGAGTAAGAGCGGATTCCTGCATTTCATAAATACCAGTTTATCAGACGTAAAAACATACTGAAAGCTACGTGTTTCTTTCAAGTAAGTGGTTTGGTCTCGTTGCTGTCCTCTCTCAACCGCCAACACTATTAACCTCACAATGTAAGAGACTTTGAGCTGATCTCGCGGAGACCTTTGTGTTCACTCAGTCAAAATCTTTTCTTTTATACTTTTCTCTCAGTCACTCAACCTTGGTGGATCAGATGAAAAGCAACAACTAATTACCTACCTTTAGAGATTTAAAAAAGCAAAACATTTTCATATGCAGAAGTAGGACCAGTCAATGAAAAATTACATATTATTGCAAAGATTGTCTTCTTACTTGTCTTACTTGTCTTACTTGTCCACTGTATTGGGGTCACTGTAGTCGGAACATGTCCATCTCTGCCCCCCCCCCCTCTTTAGGATCCATCTCAAAGTCTGTCTACTTATAGTCTCCATCATAATCTGGTTGGAGGTCCGTCGGACTGGTCCGCACAGATGGCTGTGTTTCCCCTCCTTTCTTTGGATCCCCTTCTCCTTCAATCTACTTAGAGTGTGGGAACCGCTATCCGCCCTATTCTCCCTCAAATTTTCCCTTACAGTGGTTAGGACGGTTGGGTGGGTCCAGTGTCAAATTCCCTCCCACTTTTGCTTCTCCAGCCACCTTGTCTGCTCTCTCGTTGCCGGTTACCCCCGCGTGACCCGGGCAGAAGATCCAGCCACTCTTTCCAGGCTGCTCTCCCTGATTGTAGCCTTCCAGTCCACATACAGCATCCCTTTCTGTACCTTCTGTAGTGTGCTCATTGAGTATGTAATGATTACTGCGCGCTGATGGCTTGTGTTCTTGATCCAGTGTAGAGCTTCACTTATGGCTTTTATCTCCATACACATACTTGATGTTGTCAGTGCAGTTGCTCCACTTTGCTCTTTCACAACTACCCCATCAACTCTGACACTGAAGGCCCAGCCCGATTTGACTCCTGTCTTGACTGATCCATCCGTGAAGATCACAGCATCTCCATGTTCGCTATGCTCTTCTATCAGGGTTTCAATTTCAGCGTTTGTAGCTCCAGGTGGCCAGTTGCGACATTATCTACTCAAAGTTGCCTTCACTGATGTGTACTCTCCGAGTGCATCTTCGACCACAACCCAATCCCTGCCTCTCCTGATGTCTTGTTTCTGGCAGCACTCGTTGATGGTGTTCGTGGCTTGAGTCATCCATTCTGATCCCCTCTTTAGCCTTAATGTCATCTACCGTCCCACTTTCTTATGTAGAGGGTTCGTCTCGTCTGCGCTGACTCGCAGTAAGGCTTGGACTTATGCCAGTGTGTGCCTCTCGTCTGTACATGGGACGTCTAGGAAGTATCTCATTGCTTCGGTTGAGGTATCTCGTGTGCACCTCAGGATTGGCCTCTTTCCTTCATTTTGTAACACTTCGAGTCCTTGCAGTTGCGCCTTTGATAGGGTCAAGAGTCCGAGTCCGTACTCTACGACAGAGAGTACCAGTGTCTGGTAGAGGATGACAAGGATTGTCTGGCTCATCTTAGCTCTGGCCATCATCTTAAGGGCTGTTAGGCTTTTTCTCGCCCTGGAGATTGTTCTCGTGATGTGATCTTTGCCAGAGAGGGTGCGATCAAACGTTATGCCCAAGTAGTTCCGTGTGGGTTCCCTCTCCAGCACTTTACCTCCAATCGAGATACTTGGCATGTCATCGTGCACTGCATGGTTATTCAGTGTACACCACAATGCACAGGATTTGTCTGGGTGCAGTTTTCTGTTGTACACTTCACACCACTGTTCAAGTCTGTCGAGTTCTTCCTGTACTCTCTCCACTGCAACCTGGCGGTTTTTGCCCTGCCTGTACACCAGCACATCATCAGCAAAACTGAGTACACGTCTGCTGGTTGAAAGTTATCCCTATTGTATAAACGTTGAACAGAACAGGCGAGAGTGCAGATCCCTGTGGTAAGCCTGGTGTGATCTCGGTAGGTAGCGAAGCCCAGCAACCAAGACGTAGGGCTACCTTTCGTTTGAGCAGCGCTGCCCCAATCCATTGTACTAAATGTGGATCTACCCTCAGGTTGACTAGAGTCCTCATGAGGGTGTCGTACTGAACTCGGTGGTAGGCATCTTCCAGGTCAAGTGCAGCTACCAGAGTTTCTTCCCCCCGTTCGAAGCCATCATATACGTCGGATGCAAGAGTGGCAGCATTCATCCGTGTGATCTTTCCTCTTCTATAGCTGCACAGTTCCGGCGGTAGGACGTTTTTTTCCTCCAGCTCTATTGCCAATCTGCGAGCCACGATTTTCTCTAGCAGCTCCCCGACGGTATTCTGCATGGTCACTATGCGATATGAGGCAATCTTGCTTGGGTCCTTGTCTGGCTTAGGAACTGGGGACAGGTGACTGTCCAGCCTGTCTTCAAAAGATAGTCTTCTATCAAAAATTGCCTGTAATTACGTTTCAAAGTAAAGTGCATTAAAATTAAGCTGCTGTGATTTCACTTGACATATGCAAAAGAGCAAAACCCATAAAATTAACAAATTGAATTATTCTTATAGTCACAGAATATAAAATGAAACCTGAGTCCATGTGACTACATACTTTATAGTGCCCTGTAAGGGCACACTAATGTAACCACCTTA